ATACCCCACAACGTGTCCGAATACGCATCGCTCGAGGTAGCAAAGACATTCGGGCACTTTATTTCCGGAAAGTTTCGAAAACAAAATGCACGAACGTAACCAAGATCGAATAGATCGTCAAGAATTTTTTTAACGCGTCGTTTCATTGCTTTACGAGACCGCCCATTACCGCGTCTTATCGTTCCGGTGCTGTTATTCTAAAACTTTCTAATCTGGTCGTCGACATTGGTTACCGTAAAACTGTAGCGCTCGGTTTCGCCACACTACGACGCACGTATCCCCATAACAAATCCATGGATTTTTCTCTGGCCACCCCGTATACTTGATGTTCGTGCGTAAGGCATTCGTGTGTTCAGAAGGGTCAACGTCCGACCCTCACCACACGCCACGAATCGACGCGCCAACACACAGAAGCTTGGTTTGTTTTGGTTTCCCGGGCGTTACCCTCGTCTCCCCACTTCTTACGAGCGAGTCCTCTCTCTTTCTTTCTTCGCGGTTCGCCTCCTCCGTGCGTTCCTCTCTTTCTCCCTTACCGGCCGCGATGCATCCGACGCTCGTGAAAGCTATCGGCGTGTCGAGCGACGACGTGATCCCAAAATGGGAATTGACATCGAATTAGCATGACGTCAAGGAACGTATGCAGATACACGTCGTCGGACAGTAAGCGACGCTACGTCCACGGAATACGGGAAGAGAAGTAACGTTATCGCAAAACCGTGCGATGCGTGGCGACGCATTTTTTACATGAAATTGAGGTTAGAGACGTAAACCTCGTTACCTCGATCGGCGTGTCCGTATCGATATCACATATACGAGCGGAAATATCGTATCGTCGCCGAAGATCGCCCATGCGCAGAACAGATCGTAAAAAAATAAAAAATGAAGCCTGTTGTTTTCGAGGAAACGAGCGCGACGAGTGACGCGGGGAGAAAGCGAGAGCCGCGTGGAAAGCAAGTTGTTGCGGTGCAAGTAGTTTGGGATCGATTTTCGTGTCCGTGTCCCGTGTCTGTGTCCCGTCGCACTCGTTACGTTCACCTCAACGGTGAATGCTCGATTCGCTGCCATCCCGCGGCGCAGCCACGTCCTACGGCGCGGGGCGTGTACGGTAGCGATGCAAGCGAAACAGACAAGCGCCGAGGAGACCTTGCTTGGAATTTCCATTCGTAGAGAACGGGTCAGTTCTCGGCGCGGATCATCGCATGCACGGTCTAATTATAAGCGATTCGAGGCTGAACCCGAAACGGACGCAGACATGCGTGACTCGTTGGAGATAGATACCAGAGGGCGTGCACGCTCTCGTGTATCCGATCGAAAAGAAAGGGAAGGGAGGAGGAGATATATAGTGTGTTCCATGGGACGGTGAAGTGGATCCAAACAAAACCACGTGACCGCGGCAGCCTCGCATTGGCAAGAAGCCCATTCCCCGAGCATAATAGAATTTACACAAGTTATTATTTATGTATAGAAATAGTAACCAAGGGCGTCACAATTTTGTAGATACAATATCGAATAAAATTTTACAATTTGAAAGTTTATATTATATAACAAAATTGCGAAGTATATTTGCACGGTATTTCGCCGTTCCAAAATAATCCCGTACAAGGTAACACGCTTCCAGTACAGCATCGTGTTTTGCTATCTAAAATCTCATTCCCTGCATACTTGAACCATATGTTTCTCGCTCGAATCAAGTACCTAGATGGCGCAGCGTGAAAACGGTAACGTTTGTATTTATAATTGTCAAATCGATGTATCCAAAAATATATAACGTATTCGTCGTGGTTAATTTTTAATTTACGTCCAGACGAGTGACGAAAAATTTTTAAGCCAGTCGTGCCTGCATTTTGCCGTTGCATCGAAGTCCCGCGATACGTCCCTGACCGAAGGCGTCGCGTCGAGGTAGCGGACCGATGAAAATTTCGATCACGTGACAGGCTCTGTTTACATCGAAGCTCATCGTCCCGATGGAACGCACTATAGAGTGGCTCGCGTAAACGAGAGCCTACCGATCGCAGACCACGCGCGTGCATCCCCATCTAGCTATCTATATACTACCGGCAACATCGTATCGCGCGCGATGCACCCACGGACGACCAGCACTCGGCAACCCTGTCCGCTCGCTTACTCATCCCTGCTGGCTCGGGAGACCGCACGAGATCGTCCTCTCCTCGAGAGATTTACATCTCTCTTTCTTCTGGTCGCGGTGTGTTCCTTTTTTAGAATCTTGCCAATGGAACGTACCCGTGACCAATTACATCGGTCGGCGTTGTACCGTGCGCGTCCGCCGCGCTCGATGCAACCTGTTAACACAACAGATGCGCGCGACGGCGTGCAACGTTCGTCTATGATTTCTCGGTCTCTTCGATTTTTCTTTCCTTACCGTTTCCAAACGAGACCGGTTCGACCGAACGTCCAGAAGACACTTTAGAAAGTTCGATCGGTTTCGTGACGGGGTACGCGATGCGTCGAACGTAGGCGCACGTGCGCGATATCCCCGTCCACGATTATTAACGCACGTAACCGAATGTGACTGAAAGTTGCTGCGCAAAAGGGGAAAGGGTCGTCGCGCTGACTTCTTCGGTACGAGGCAAAAGCAACGGCAAGGCAAAGCAAAGGGAGAGCATCGCCTGCCAACCGGCATAGAAGGTCTGTGACCTCGGCGATGCCTATGCTACGCTGTGCACGCCGCTGCCCGCGTGTACCGTTTCAGAGGTGATGTCACGAGCAGAAAGGTCCTTGAAGAAGCAAACAACTTTTCACCAACAACTCTTTTCCTGTTATACACGCGTGATATATGTGGGTGTTCCAGAAAATATCGCGCCGTTTAGTCACTTTGCTTCGTACAATTCTGACTGACACAATAATATTTTAATACTTAATATTCAATATTTTAACCCTTATGTCAATGACCGTGTATGAGAGTACCTCTTTCAGCAAATTTATTCTACTGAATTACACCGGAATATAATTATGCAATCTGTTAATATATCGGTTTATTTAAAGTACTTCGTTGAAAACTATGTAAATATCGCTCAGGTACCCCGCAATAAACAATGGAATAGGATTACAATTAATTTTCAAACCTAATGGACCGATATTGAATTTCTCTGGGCCGATCATCATTAATTTTAAACCACAAGTTGGTAGACTAGTTTAATACCGGCTGGACTATAATTTCGACTGAACACAAGAAGACCCTTTTTCGGGGTTTTTGTCCCTATTTATCTGTTTGTAATAAGAGATATTAAATTACAATATATTGAAGGTGAAAATATAAGAGAAACGATAAATCAGAAAGCCTTGTGAACGGTTATCGAGGCATGTGAAAAAATCTGATTGTATGTTCAATGACGTGTTAACGTCAATAGTAGTATGCACCCAAGTCCCTATCAGTTGTTAATCTTCCGTTCTTCGCTACCAGATCTACGATGTTCTTCGCAGCGATAAAATCTTACGTCATATATTTTACTTCGGATTAGTGAAGCGGTTATTTGATTTCAATTGCATCTCGGCGCATCCATTGTGTACCCGGAGCCCGCTGCCGGGGAGACAATTTACGACTACAACAATTTTATTGTTTAGAAGCTTCTTTACACGTGTACTTCGTGACGTGCAAGAGCCGAGTCCTCGAGAAGTTACTTTCGTAGAGTTAAAAGCACGTTCTCTTATCGCTCGGTCAATTCAAACGCGAATGCATTGTTGTAGGATGAGGTTGCATATTGCTAATTTGTCGCTCCATCGTCTTTATTATTATCAGCACTGGCTGGACGTTTAAACTACACGCAACGCGGATATGAACTTGCAATAGATGGCGCGTACGGCAAATGAACTTTTATATTTCAACGTATAAGTTTCTTGACCCCTTTCGATGTACCGAGTCAGACCGATCGTGAGTAATTTTTACAAAAATCTTACGTGGATAATAATGGAATTAAGTCGGAATTTTTATTCCCGTCCATGGATATTTTTGTGGGCCGCCATTGCAAGTTTGACCAGCTGGCAGTCTGTTGCGCGCGACAGACGGGTAATAAAGAGTTAAAAGCACGATCGTGGCGACCGCGTGGCCCGAGAGTGTCGTATCGTTCCTGGATCAATAACACGTGATCGTGCCACAGCGACCGGCACCTCCGTCCAGCGCCGGCCGATATAAACAAAGAAACGTGCGCGCAGCGAGCACGCCGGCTGCCGCGCATCGATTTTCCCTCGCGCCGCGCGTCTCGACCCGACCAAAGCGTGTTTACGGTACGATTTTCGCTACGCCGCGTTGACCGACGGACCGTAAGACGCTATCGGAGAACGGCTAAATATTTGTCGAAATAGTCGCTGGAAATCGGACCTCCGGGTTCCTCGTTCCGAACAAACTTAACCAAACTTTTCAGTAACCCTCCGAGGGGGCAGCACTTGCAAACTTCAGACAATATACTTGTAATCTTTCGAACGTACGTTACAAAGCGAGTCTCGAATCATCATTTGCGCGGAGTCCAGTCTTCCTTGCAAATTATTGATCGGGAACGAAAATAACCGTACCAAAAACAATTAAATTTCGACTCCTCGGTGGAAATGACACCAGCCCATTGTCCTCGAGTTCGATCAATGTGCTCTTTGGCTAAGCGTAATCCTGCTTTGCGGATTTTTTCTTTTTTTTTTTTTTTTTGCTTATGAATGGTTTCTCGCGAGCAACGTCGAACGGTGCGAATGTAGATTTCTGACTCGGTGAACGATGAATTTTCGGCATGTGTGTCAATAGGTGTTTCGAAACGGTTTTTTGTTCGAAGAGGCAACGTTTTCACGTTCCAGGGGCTCGTGACTCGCCAGGAAGGTCGTTATTTTCGTAACCAGGTTTCAGAGCTTGGCGGCGTACGCCAATAGAAATGTTCACAATCTTTTATGTTTCTGGTATTTAACATGGCTGGTGAAATTTTTAAAAATTGTTGATTTTACTTTAATCGATAAGTTATGACTGTTCGATCCAAGGATCACGCTGGCCACTTTGGTTTCAGGCAAATGCAGCGGTGGTGTTCAAATGCACTTGGCCAGGCTGCCTGGAGATCAAAGCCACCGTCGCGCTCATCGAGGAACACGTGCGCCAATCGCACTTGGGGTAAGTCGTAAGACGCAACAAGTCTCATGAAAATTCGCTCGCCCAGGTGTCGTGACCAGTTACGAGGCCGTGCGAGAATTAACCTTGAACCGGCCGATAAGATAAATTCGATCGTTTGGTAGTTCTATTTGTCTTTTAACGTACTGACAACGCAATTTAATCGACGATCGTATACGTTCTGCAGGCCGAAAAAGTCGAAAGGCTACGACAACGAGGAGGACGACGACATGTCCGATCACGAGGAGGAGTTCTATTATCAAGAGGTTGCCGTGGATCACATGAGCTCGCCGCCGACGATGTCGCACCGGGACATGGCCAGGCCGCCCCACGAGGATCCTGAGTACCAGAAGCAGCTTCGTCTGGAGGCAACACCGGCGACAAACAACACCGAGAACGTGTTGGTGGGAATCAGAGAACGGAACACCGCGTTCGCCATTTCGCAATCGCCGGTACGTGACCCATAGTGCACCAAATGCAATTGTGTTTTATGTACAACCTCATCGAACGTACTGTGGCGTCACCTCCCGTACTCGCCGCCAGAGGGCGCCCTTGTCTCTCTCGCAAGCGCTCGACCTGGGAAGATTCTTTCCTTTCCTTTTCTTTTCCTCCTACGACCAGCAAAAGCAGCGCCATCACATTACCTTTGGTGGTTTTCGTTAATATTTCGATTCGAAGTTTTTATTGGTTATTGGAAAAATCTGTCAAGCTGGAATAAAATACAATGTAGAGTCTAGCTAGACAAAAAATTGTTTTGAAATCCAGTATTTAAAATAATCGTCCCCGTAGTGAGCCGCACAAAGCGTGTAGATGAGAATATATGATGTTGTTTATTAATCTGTACGATTTGATCTGTTTCTCGTGGATAGGGTACACCGATCAAACACATAAAGCTTTCGCCGAGGCCGTTCCAGGCGTACCAACAGAATATGGGTTTGCTGACAGTCTCCACGGGCAAGATGCCGTCCTCACCGCGGCGAATACGCGGCGAGACGAAGAAATGCCGCAAGGTCTACGGTATGGAGCACCGCGACCTTTGGTGCACACAGTGCAAATGGAAGAAGGCCTGCAGCCGTTTCGGCGACTAGGCCAAGCGACCGTCCCGTTCGTACGTCCGCGGGCGGAGATTGTCGCCGTGCCGACCCCAGAGTTTGCCAATGCTACGTTAAAACAAAACAACAACAACAAAAAAAAAAACAAAAACACACTTCTCACCAACTGCCAATTGCCAATTTCCGATCGTCGTCGTCGTCGTCGTTGCCAACGCGGCGGGACGCGCGCCGCGTTCCGACGAGGACCGCGATCACCACCGACGCTGTGGATCGCAACAGCGACGAGAAGAGAGGGGTTTTTACCCTATTTATCGTCCACCATCTTCCAGAACGGGGCACTGTGTTCGCTCTGTCCATCCCGAGAAAGACCGGGTCCGCCGCTACGGTAAACGAACAGCAGCGAATGAAAAAGCAAACCTCCCCTCCTCTGTGTTCTTCTTGTTTCCCCGTCGTCGTGTTTCTTGGGAATTCCATGATGGGTGGGTGAATGGACAAAAGAAAAAAAAAAGAAAAAAGGGGGCACGAGTTTCGCCGGAGAATACGTCAATCCCATGACGGATGGCGGACGGTTGGATGGGGGCCGATAATTACGCGCAGCAAGAGAAGATCTCGTCGACTGCTCGCTCGATGTCAGTGACAGGGCGGAGAATTTTGGGCGGACGGATCGTTGACCGATCGTCGAACGATTTCTTATCGCTCGTCTGGCACTTGGCAAACTCCGCTAGGGTCATTTTTAGCCGTAAATAAGGGGATTCGATTAGTAGATAGCGAATAATTCTTTGGCGTGCGGAACGAGGCGTCCCTTAGACTGTTGCGCTTGTCTCTGTCTCTCTCTCACTCTCTATCCTTTATCTCTACTATACGAGGGCGCCGGGACACACGTCGTGCCTCGTTCCCGTCACGCCAGACGAAATCTTTTGGTTCGGTACGTAGAAGAGATAACGCGCTCGCTCGATGTCCGGCGAGCACGCATGTCCCTCGATGTGCTGGTTCCCGAACCGATTCTTAGGTCATTGCAATAGGTCTTCCTTCGTCCGATCCGTGGAACGGTTCCATCCCGCTGTTTCATTGGTCCGCGGTACCGAACGTCGCCCGCCTTCGATGAGCGCGCGTCGTTCCTCTCGTCCACGAGTGTTGTAGGGAGAAAAAGAGATCAGTCCTGGGTAAACCCTCTATTGCAATGGTTTCCAAAGTCCCTTGGATGCCGCGCCACTTACTAGAGAAAATTCCCGCGTCCAAGGTTTACAACGAAACTATTTTTACCTTATTTATTTTAATTAATTTCGATAGTAAATTATTTTTATATTCATTTTTATCGATCGAACTATCTGCAAGACCTCTAGACGAATTAATAAATACTTGAGATACTCTCACGTTGGTAAATAATATTTATTACATTATACATTGCAAATCATGCGACACGAGTTTAAATAAACTTTAGAATTTATTTGTAACAATTATTCTTTTTAATGGGTAAAATCAACGCATTAATATATAGAAGTATTAAGTTATACATATTATTCTACGTTAATCGATTTATTTCGCGTCTCCTGATTTATAGATCACGCGCACAATCTTTTCTTGCGGGGATGTGTAATATAAATTATTGCAAGGCAGCCCCGAAAAATCATTTATCGTTCGAACATTAACGAAATCATGAATACAGAAATAACTACGAAATAATTTCTTTCTTCGGGAGATAATATAAATTTCGTGCAATAGAAGGTTTAGAAGAAGAATGTGGTCATATAGAAAGGCTGACTAAATCGTCCGACCTAGAGATGGACAAAATTCGATTCGAATAATATGTAATTTCATTTTATCGTTCGGACTGTAATTTTTATTGACCAAACGACATACCGAAAATTGTTTAGTTTTCGTTTTACTGTTCGATATCTGTATCCGGATAAAAAAAAAGAAATGCCCTGGTTCGTCTCTGGTCTGACCCAACACGAGTCGTGATTCCTTCCATTGATGTTACTTTCTCCCGGCAATGCGCGCGCGAACGAAAGCGTTTCGGGCGAAAGGAAGAGGACCGAAACGTTCGAAATTCGGTTTGACCGATGTTCTTCCTGGAAGGACGCAGGCGGGCAAGTTGAACGAACATTGCGTCGAACAGGGCTAATTGTGATATTTTCTCTAAATTTTATCGGATATTAATCGTGGGCCGACGAGGCTGATGACGAAATAAGAATAAAAAAAAACGAAAAAAAATATAAAAGTAGCGGGTGATATATAAGGAGCTTGCGACAAAAATTTGGGGGTTGGGGGGTGTGACGCGCGTGGAAAAACAGAGAAAACAAAATTTTATACACCAATTATTATATACTGCCAGATAAATAATTCAATGATGCGAAAGAAGAGATCACGCGCGAAAACGTGAAAAAGAAAAAAAGAATATAGAGAAAAAGGAGGATAAAAATGCAAGAGAACACGAAAACGATTATCGTTCAAGGTTGCGTGCGCGCGCAGCCGTTTCACGTTCGTTGTACGCGTCGCCGTGTGTCGGAGCTTAGGCTCGCCAGCCTCACTCGACGACCTAAGACCGTGTTCGCTAACAAAGGAGCTGCGTGCACGAGACAACAAGAGGCCTCGCAGTTGAATCGATCGATCTTACCGAACGGGGCGGGATCCAGGCCAGGATCTCGCCCTGGGTATTATACGTACGCGTATTGTACAAACAAATCCGTTTGTAGCCCGTGGCTGGTCGCTTCTGTAGCCGATCGTTCGTTGAACGTGCACCTTTCTCGCTTTCGATCGTGTGATTCGTATAGGGACCATAGACGTAACGGTTTCTCGTACGATCGCCAAACGTGCAGAGGATTGTTGGTAGTATACTGCGGGTTTGGGGAACGATAAGATGGATCTAGGACTGGGGGGATAAATCTATTTACTGGTTACAGTAAAATTCCCAAAAAAATAGTCTGTTATCTTCAGAAGAGACAATGTATATTTATAGTCAATTGCTATATTAGGGTATTAGTTTGTTTTAACCCTTTCTGTCCTGATTTGAGTATTCTATTTAAAGAAGATATTAATACCATGGGATCGTGAAAGACATTTATGTAGAGGAATACATTGAAAGGTACAAATATTATATGAAATCGATCATAGATTGGATATACATACAAGGATATTTATATTTATATTTTATATTTTAAAAGCAATCGATGTTGGGAAAATGTAGTATCGGAATTAGCTGCATCTCATTTCTATTTAATCTTTGAGTGTTCATAAAGTCCCGTAAATATCATATCGAATATACTGTCATAGTAATAGCAATAAAGTAATATATGTATCCATATGCATCGATGCAAGTAATTTTATTGACATTTTGGGACTCTCACTTGTTCAAATGGGGATGATCTTCGTACTTTTCTTACGTGTATATTAGATACAATACGAAAGTATAGAAGCTAAAGTATTTTTTCGGTGAGATTTATTGAATAGGTTATGGCTACTTTGTGGAAAAATAACGTACGACAAATCGGTACACAAATTGCATCGTGCGATAAATCGTCGCGCCAATGGCCCTTGATACAGTCGTTCGAATTATTTATAAATAGGGAGACAAACAAAAAGGGGAAAATATTTGATCTCGATGGACTTTTGCGACGCGAGCAAAAGCTGCGTAGAATCGGCCGCGTTTCGTTCGGGAACGCGTCGCCACTGATCACGCTGCCGTCTCGTCGTCAAATTTAAATGATTCTTTATCATTACTATTATTATTATTATTAATATTATTATTATTGTTATTATTAATATTATTATTATTATTACTGCTATTTGTTTCTTTTAACGATAAGTGAACGAAAAAAAATTCGAAGGGTATTTCAAAGACTATAGGTTACGTAGGAACTGTTTTCGTATCCTCGAGAGGAGAACTCCTTCCATCATGTTGATCGATGCTCATCATTCTAGTACAATTTTACCGATAGCGCATTCTATACGTTTTCTCGCATAATTTAACTGTTAATCTCGTAACGCGTGTCGATATTTAATTGTAATTAAGAAAATCGTAACCGTGAAACGATAACGTCAACCGAGATTAAGAGATTCGTTAGAACAAACGGGGGTTTTGGGAAGGGGGGGCGAGGGACGTGATGTTAATTACGTCGACGACACAACACGCGACAGCAACGCGTGCACGGGATGGGTGGGGTAAAAGAATTACGAAATCACAGACCAATCGTTGATTAATTACCGTGACGGTATTACAGATTTTCGACATTCAGTTTTACTGCGAACCAAAGACGTCGTCGTGTTTGATCCCGAATTTCCTTTCGATACGGTCCTAGTTCTTCGCGGGAAACGCATGTTGCTGATTCACAAGTAAATCTACCGTCAAGAGGGACCGGTATAGTTTGCACGGATTTTTGTTCACGTTGTCTTACGTACTTAGTTCGATTATTTCATTTTTCTTTTTTTTTTTCCTTCTGTTGATTGTTTCAATCAGAGCGCTCTGCGTACAACGGCGTAAAATTCCAACGAATCAGAGAAAAGGGTTTCGTGTACGTTTCGAAGTATTGTACCGACGTCACTGTCCTCGATCGAACGCAAGAACCAGCTAAGCCGTAGTTCTGTAAACGAATACCATCGTATAAATTGTTGCAATAACGACGAAACGTTGCCTCCAATTCGAATGGGGAACGATTCGTCGCGAACAAACGCGAAACACTTTCCTTGATCTATGTAAAATAGGGAAAAAAATGAAAATAATGTGAAATGCAAGGTCGAACGCGCGCGCGCGCGCTCGAGCATGCGTAGTATAGAAAGTAATTGCCGTCCAAATAGGTTCCTTCTGTAGGTCAAAATTGTCATCCGAAGTGGTTTCTAGAGCGTACAGTTAGAATCGGCATGCGCAACTTCCAAAAAACCGTCGTGGAACGCCGAATAATGCTACTGGCAATGAAATTATGTTGGTAGAAAAACGTACACACGTACCGTGGACAATGTTATTATGGATGGGACTACTTGTCGAATTCTTTTGTATTCGTTACGAATACCAATTTGAATACTTTTGACTAATCGAATTTTTGAGTCTTCGAATATTTTATTTATGATACTTTATATAAAACATTTCTATTTTGACGAAGAAGAACTCGTGCATTCACATTTCTCAGATGTAACTATCCCAGTAAAGAAACTGCCGCCATTTGCAAGGCAGTTCGCTTATTGGGCATGTTTCGAGGTTAGAAAAGACTAGTCTCCTATATTTTTGTATATCATCAACGGAGAAACAGATAATCATATGTTCCGTTCACGGTAGACCAGTCAGTGTTTTACAGAACATTTTTAATTTTAATTGGAATTTAAAAATTGTGTTGACGTTTTTAGCAGGTCACGAGGTTGGACGCTATCTTTCTATTTTTTTTTTTTACGATTGTCTAATCCATGTCCAATTGTATTGAAAGGTACACGACGATGAACGCTTTAACGGTTGTAGATACATGATCCAATAAGTAGTATTATTCAACGCGTGCCAGACGAAATCTTTATTTTTCTTGTATCCGTAGGGAGAAGTTTACGGCGAACAGCATCCGAACGATTCACTGTTACGCCGTCGCTCGTACATACGCGAGCTTTGAATCAACTAACGCTTGAATCCTTCTCTGTCGAAAGTAAAGAGAATTTTGGCCGGATATTCAAGTACAGGCACTACGCGTATACCACAGTACAAGGTTAACGATTGTGCCATTCGAAATGCCAAATATTCTCTGGTACTCTTATCGTGAAGTAACAATTCGAAAAATCGAAACGCGAAGGAGAGAAACTGAAATGAGAACGGATTAAAGAAAAACCGCGGAACCGCCCGAACCACGCGAGAGAACGGAAAGAGAACGAGAACTTAAAGATTCGTAACGGAAGCTTTACAGACTTAAAGATACCTCAGGTTTATTTCATAACGAAAAACAACGGTGGGCCGTTTTACGATCGAGACGGAACGATTATGACGATAGACGACCGAGCGTGGTGCGTTCACGGGCGCGGGTCGTCGTATTTCGTTTTCGATCAAGATGGCCAACCGATAGGCACTGAAATTATATTTCATACGTATCTTCTCGCGAAGTGAACGTCAATATTACTTAGTCGAATTCGTTGCATCGAGTCGAGGACTCGCGTTATATTGTATAAATATATATCGCATTTAATAGGTCGCCTGAAAACGTTCAAACGCCGGTGACAAATCTAGGCCCAATAATCTCGCGCCGGCTATCCTCCGACGACAGTAGGCAATTAAGTCGTTCTCGCGTTCTACAGCGTTGCCAGGACAAATAACGCCGCCGACGTTCGATCGACGACCCCGTCGATCCGTGTCGGCGTTTTCTTCGCGCGACAGTCTATCGTGCCCGCTCGGGGTTCGCGTGTCGCGTTGCAGTCTCGCGAGATGGCCGCGTTGCGCGAGCCGTGAATCCACACGGTTGGCAACACTGTAAGACCGCGACAGCGAAGCATAGTCCGCGCGTATTAACCGAACATTCGATCGATTCGACAAGCGAGCCAATTAGGGGCGATCAAAATCCTATGTATATCGAAACGACACAAGACAGCGATCGCCCCGGATATCAATCTAGGGCTATGCCCAGCACGATCGCCGAGATTTGGAAGGTAAAATAACACCGCGGAAAATAATGGCCGGGATTATCATACCAAAACGATCTCATATCGATTTAATGAAATGCAATTTTTGATCGTGCGGTCGACCAGGGCCCCACCGTTGCTAGGACCGGTCAAGCGGCGACATCTCCGAGTGACGAAGTTTATTGCATGTACCTGTTAAAACGTCGCTAGTAGTGATGGGACCAATCCAATGACATACTCGTTAATACCGATTCGTATCAATTCCCAAGGTATCGAAATAAGTAGTCATTGGCGTTAATAGAATGTACTTGTTGGCATTCGTTGGTGGTATAGGTACGATTCATACGTCGAGTACACGTCGAGATCCGTTGACGGGACAGCGATCCGACTGGCCCATTACAGATATTAGAAGAATAACAAGTATTTATCTGGAGAATAATTCGAATAGAAACAGTTTATTCGAATAATTCTACTGGCAAATTAATCCGTTCTAAAATACCGGTCGAAAATTTTGGGTGTGTCGCGTAACGATGAAGCAATTATTCGGTGAAATCTCTATTATCGGCCAGTCGGCGTTGACCGTAACGTCGTTTGTTTTATTTCCGCTGAAAATTGTGAAAATAGAACTCGATGTAATTGATACGTATCAATACGACAGTCGGATGTCTCAACAAGTTTCAAATCGTTCGTGATCATTCCATTCAATGGATTGATACAAGAGAATCA